TGGAACTTGAAATCTGGAGACCCTTAGGCCCTGGATAAGCATGGGATAAACCGCTGTTAATGGCACAGTTATCACTCGGAGTCGCAGGAGACAATCCTCTGTTTGACCTTTAAAAGTCAATACCGTATGTTGCTCCCTCACCAAAAAAAAAAAACCGGGGGAAAATAATAATCCATTCATTCAGACCTGTATTGTAAAAAGCCCAGTGAGGTAAAGCAATGCTTACAGAATAAAAATTGTGAACTAAAGAAAGAAGACTTATTTAATAGCTGGGGACAAGGTTTCTGCTCGTAAGACTCCCTGTGGACTCATAAGACTCCCTCCAAGCCCAAAGGAGAGAGTGGATTTTGACAACAGCAATTCCTGAAACATCTTGTGCAAACCAAAACCACATAAAGAGAATTTAAGATAAATATAATAAAGACATCACACAGCTACACACACACAAAAAAAGTGTTTCCAGCTATTTCAGACTTGGGAATAAAATATTGTCTCTAAAGGTGTTAAAGCACAGAGTGAAGCAAAAAAGGAAATGTGAGGCAAAATGAAATGAAAGGAAGAAGCTTTTCTTTACAGCATTGACCATATAATCTGAACACTAAAAATACTCTGTTATCTCTTCCAAATCTTTTGTAATTACCAGAATTCAAGCAGCTACTTTTAAAACGAAGTTAATAATAACACCACCAAGACTACATTTAAGGCACCGAATCTCAGTATTGTCTATCAGTGTTTGAAGTGCAGACTTTTTATTTAAATGGTGGTTTAGGTTAATGGGCCTCTGGTAAATTGAAGTGGTAGCAGTGGCAGATCTGTAGAACTGTGATAGTAATAAAGGATTTTCTATAAGGACAAGGTGATACAGATTTTTCGTCAGGGTCATGCAGACTAACATTTGACTTTTCACTTTGCATTTTCTAGATCTCATTCACTCTACTCTGCAAGGTGTAATTGCAGAAAAGAGACATAAAGCAGTGGTTTTACCATGGGAACTGTGAGAGTACTAGAGAAGCTGGTGCTTCTCTGTGGGAATCTAAAGTCACGCTTCACCACAGAATGGTTTTTAAATGGGCAAATTTGTCCTGGTTTTACTGTTACTGGCACTCAAGCTAGTTGGGTTAAAACTCAGCTGTGTTGGTTCTGTCCACAGGTAGAACGATGCCTTTGCTTGCAGCATAGTTAAATGTTTAATATGAGGGGAAGGCGTTTCTCTCTGCTATGCATGCACACAGAGACAGGAATTAACAGCATGCATGTTTGTGGTGCTGTTTCTTTATTAGATATCAGTTCGTAAATAGGATTCCTTGCATTATAACAATTTTAAGTGGATCAAAAAACATCCCCAAAACCCTCAACAAATCACATCCAAACACCAAACAAACCACCAAAGAAGTAGGGTAGTGATTGAAGCTGATAGAAGTGGTGAATGTACTACTCCATGTTTATCTGCTAGTACTGTATAGTCATTGATTTTTGGTGAGGACAACCATTATCAACTAGAGTGGAGCTTTATTTTAAGATTTTTAACTCAGATTTCTGGAAACTGAGTGATATATAAAGCTTGGAATCCTTCCCAATGATTTATTGTAATGTAACATTTGCTGCAATAAACTATGCCCTCAATTAGACCTCAGCAACTCCATTAACTTTAATTATATCATGGTTGTAACTGAGAGTATAATTTGCCCCATCTGGGAATAGAATATACAATTAAAGCTCCATAGGACAGAACAGGCAGAAGAAATTTGCCCTTCAGCTGGAGCTGTCAGGAAAATTATTGACTGTTTTAGTTATTCTCTCCAACTTTAACAAATCCTATTAATGATATAGTTGCAGTATGTATTTTCCAGTACATAGTTTTGTAGAACAAGTACTGTTTATGCATTTTCTCTTGGTATCTTGCAGGTGAACAGAGGATCAGCAATTAAAGCTGTTAGGCACCGACTTTTAGCTCAGGAAATAGGATAGCAGAAGCTGGGTAAATGAGTACCTTTGCAGCAGCTGGCTGTGCACTCTACAGAAATCGTCAGTCGTGGTTCAGGACCAAGCTCAGCCAGAGGATGTGGAGGGTCTGGAATCAAGGGACTAAGGAATAATATGTGCTTATTTGATATAGTACCATAGCAACAAGCTGTTACGTTGCAGAAGGTAAAGCAAACAAAGAGCTATAGAAAGATCTCTGTGATAGCAATGAACTAGTTTTTCATCCCAAGTGCTGTAGTAGAAAGCAAAGAGTTGACAGTGTTATTAAGTCTGTTCAATTCCTTTCGATGTGACTGAGAAAAAATAGCTTAGATCATAAGAAAGAAGAATTTCTGTCTTGCATTTTTTTTATTTCCAAAGAGAGACATCAGAGGGAACTTTTAGCTAGTATGCCATGTTATTTTCATATTTGCTTTTTGTTTGTCTTCCCAAGATTAATGTGTTTCTTTGTCAGTAGCCACATCTGGTAGATTTTGAGAGCTTGAAATCAGGGAAACATAAACCATGAGGGCATTGGAAGTTGAAGTTCCCATGGAAAGGCTATGGAACAGTCAGAGGCTATCAGCAGAAACAAGCCACTAAGTGCTCTGGTTATGTTAAACCCTCAATGACTATACCTGGGAGATATCGAAACCTGTGGTGTTCCTACAGGTTTGGCACTTGACTTTCATAATACTTTCCATGGCAACCTCAGCTCAGTCTCAGTCCATGTGCCCCTAAGTTCTAGTAGTTTTTGTACCAGAAAGTTCCTCAAGGAAGGATCTTTGGCTTGTGTCTGATTTTTTGCACCTGACACTCTCAGCACAGGCAGGTCCACACAGTTGCCCCCATTGCCTAATCTGCTCTCTTTACACCCAGATTCCACTGACAGGCATTTACAAAGGAGCATGAACAAAGAATTTCCTTCTGTGCCCAAACACAGCTTGGGTACTTTAGGAGCAAAATGTTTCCACAGTTGATACCAAACTCCTGTACTGAAAGAGATTTTCTATTTTCTTGGTCAAGAAAGGAACTACTTTCCACCCCAGTGTAGTTTGTGTATGGCTACTGCCCTAGAATTTTAGGTTCTCCTCAAATAAGTTCCAAGTTTAGCTGAAGCCCTGCTAAAAATGAGCAACCAAGTTCAGCTCCTTGTGCTATCCCATTTTCAGTCTTTACTGGCTCAGTCAAATGTGCTTCACCTCTTGTATCTGAGACATGGACTTGGAGAGTTCTGAAGAGTCAGATTTGCTCATAAGTGTGTTCAGATCTAAGACATGAGAGGAAGCCTAAAATGATGAGTAGGCTGAAGAAAGTAACATCTAACTTAAAGAAAAACCTCACAAACCTATCTAACACATGAAGAGCTCAACTATATAGAAAACACATATGATATTGGAAGTAATAGGGAAGAAAGATTTATTTAGGAGTAGAGCTTTCCCTGTTGGTTTAAATTATGGGATGGAAAGGAAACAAAAGCTAAAGAGAAAATTTTGATGAGGAAAAGAAAAACTTCTTAAAATTGGTGAGTCTATGGAAACTTTTCAGTTATTATATTTAACAGAATTGGCCTGAAAGTTTGTGATGAAAAACACCATTTTAAAAGTTTGAAATGAGCTGTGAAAATAACACTGTGCTAAATAAACACTTAGGCAATCTAGGCTTTTTTTTTTTTTTTTTTTTTGCCAGAGTAAGACCCAATTTATTTCTTTTTCTTTCCATTCTTCTTCCAATTTAAAAAACACCCTTGTTAATTAATGCATAAAGAAGAGGTACAAAATGCATATTCAATATCTTTGCCTATTAAACTGAGTGAATTATTTCCTGCAACACGTGAATTTTTTGCATTCTGAAAAGAATATCTGACTGAGGAAATTGTCATTACTAACTTCTCTTGCTTCTAACTTCTTCAAACGAACAAAATCCAGAAAACAAAACCTCAACCCTTTGCTTCCTAAAAATAAAGTGTTGAAATTGATCCTTTCAAACAGTGTTAGAAATAATTTCTCCTTTTAAATGTTCAGAAATTTAACTATTTTAAAATATATAATGAGAGATGAGCTCATGTGAAAGTGAATACTGTTTCTTTTCCTTGGAAAGTTATCTTCTTTTGTCGTGACATTTTGCTTAGTCTGATGGTGTCTTTGCAGTACAGTAGTGTGCATGTTCCTCAACATGGGTGGGGAGTCAGATAGCCAATTATTTGAATGAAACAACGGTTGAATTATTAGGTTAGATGAAAAACAGATTATCATAATATATAAATTACATGAGCACTTCAGAATGCATGATGCTGAGTAGCTGTTTGGATCTGCTATCAGGTTCTGAGGTATTTTGTGTGAAACGCTGATTTGTGCTTGGCTGTTCCCTGCAATTCTTGCACACAGGGCAAGGAAAGGAACACTGAGTACTTCCCTGCTCAGAGCACTATGCTTCTAATTTTGTGGTCGTTTCTTGGATGTGACACCTAGAAAGGGGCAGATTACATTACCAGTTAATGATCTGCAGAATGATATTCATTGCTTTTTGGGCTACTCTCCTTTCTGATGCTTAATAACCCTACATACAAAACTGGGACAAGAACTTAACCTACTCTTTGCCATCCATCAAACAACATGAGTTGCGTTTATTAAGGGGAGGAAGATTTGACAGGGGAAAAAAGGAAGTGGTAGAAATTGTAGACCAGCCAGGTGCAAGCTGGCTGTCTGAAATGCATGCAACTCATGCATAAGTAGGCATAAAAGTTTCTCTACAGGCATATTGGGTGGTCGGATCGTCATCGGAATTATATGGCTTGGAATCAGAAATATCTCCATTTTGTTCTCTGAATTTACACCAGATTCACACAAGTGTAACTGAAATAAAATAATTAATTATAAATTGTCAGAATCTTTCTTATTTTCACTGCAGCCAAGAGCCAAGGCATAGGTTGACTCATTTTGGAAAATGAGACCATGCTTGCAGTCTGTGCTGGTTAATAGCAAGGAAAGGGCTCTGTGCTTATTTAATTAACTTACTCTTTACTAAGAGAACTCTTTCAATACTGTGCCTGTATCTAGTAATCGAGTTTGATTTCTCAGTGCCTCATTCAAAGTGCAACTTGTGGCAATTTTTGCCTTCTAACAAAAACTTGACTGTTGCATATGTGTGCTTGCTGCTCACTGGTGTTTAGCCTGTCACAGAAAGGTGTTATTTTCTGAACTGAAGAGCTTAAAGGCTCTGTCAAGGTGAAGAGGTAAATGTGATCTGTACTGCGCCTTGAGGCAAGGTTTGTTAATTATTTTTCTCTTGGAAATCATGTTGACAGGCAGATGACATGTGCTCAACTCTCACCCTGATATGGAGTCTGGACACAGCCGAGTCGGGATACATCTGGGTCTGGGAGATGGTGAGTGATTCCAGGTCATGTATTTAAGACACAGTCTTAGACCTTTGGGAACTTCAGATGCTAATATCAGGCTTGTGATATTGCTTTTTGCCTACAGAGTCTATTTTTGCCTTTGTCAGGTTTAGCAGTTCTCCTCTGTCCTCTTCATATGCTGTAATTCTTGTGACTTGCTAATTCAGACCAGCTGATAAAGAGGAATTTTTTGAGCATAGCTTTGTCACTGTAGGGGTGGAAGCTACTATTCATGTATTCAATTTCATCTCTATGGATACTCATTTGATTTTAGTTCTCTTATAACATATGAAAACATAAGAAGGGCCTGTTGGATCAGATCAGTGGAGAAAGAGATTCTGTTTAGGAGGGTTATGTGAGCCTGACCCCTCTCCAATCAACATTCACAGTTGTTGGACTAGGAATGCTAGGGAATACATCCATTCCATCTGTTCAATTGTAGTGATGTTTTTTGTTGTATTTTGTAGCAATGAGTATTTCAATTATAGGTTGAAATTTGACTGTATCACAATAAGGTGTTTGGGATATGCCCTTCCAGTCTTAAATTCTATGCAAATCGGTTTCCTAATTTTGTGTTATAATTGTGTGTGTGTCAACACTTTATTTGGACTCTGAGCACTCACCAAATATTTCATACTCGGTTATAGTCCACTGTTAGCAAAACTGCAATTGAAATGTGCTGTTAACACTGTCTGGCACTTTCCCATTTCATCCTTTTTCTCCTGTGTAACATTAAAAAGGCTTTTCTTTAGTTTTATCAGCTTTATTTCCTGTGTTCATCTATCTTTACGGAGTCAACTGCTGCCTCCACTGAAAGATTTGGGAAAAAAGAAAAGAGACTGTTTGGCAATTTAGTGTCCCTGGAATGGTGAGAGCCCAGAGCCTGGATAAAGTTTCTCTCTGGTGTTTTGCTTGTCTATTCATGACAATTTTGTTTTTCCACATAATTATCTCCAAATAGGTACTGACTTGTGTGTCTTTTAAACAAGGATGGAAACTTAGATAGACTTATTGCTGTATATACGCTGATTTTTGCAAGCTTTCTGATTCTTCAACCCTACAGCTTTCTACTCTTTCTCTAAGTAGTGATGTGCTTGATGATTTAGTCAGGTGAGGCATTTGCTTTATTATGATTTCATCTTTTGGACCAGAGGCAGCCTGAAGCAGCAAGGCAAAACAACTTGTTGTAATTTGACTGCTTTATCTCCCAGAGGAAGAAAGTGTTCTCCATCACTAAAAATAAAAGTACTGGACTTATTCAATCTAAAGCATAGCAGTACTCCTGAATCAATGTTGAGAAAAGATAACAGAAGCAGTTTTTGCAGGAACACTTCTAGTGCCACAGGCAAAATTTGGTACCATGGACGTGAGGTAGATTAAAACCTGAATGTATTTCAAAATGGTGTGCTGAGAGAGTTAATGCCACAGTTACTTAAGCATGTTTAGTGAACAGTTCGCAGGGCACACAGCGTTGCAAGAAAAGAAAAGAAGCACTAATGCATTAAACTGTCTCAGGAGGTAGATCTTGATAAAGAACCTCTGGCTAATATACAGAAATAAAGGCCAGAGAATAAAAACAAAGCCAAACAAAAGCCAGAAAGGGCAAAAGGAAGGAAGGAAGGAAGGGATAGACAGAGTCTGACAGGATCGGAAGAGCTGGATTCAGCACTATAACTGGCAGTCTGGGTCTGAAGGAGGAAGAAAGAAAGGAAAAAACTATTAAGGGAGAACATTTGTGAAATAGGAATAAAACCCTGGATTATTGTGGAAGGGTCAAAGGGATTGACAAGTATTTGAAGGTGTCTGTGTGACTACAAGATTCATGACAAAGAAAAAAAGGAGACTAGGAATGTATACTGAGAGTATTGGCATCATTAATGGAAGCGAGAGGAAGCAAAAATCTGCCAGGGATAAATAGTATAAGGCAATATACAGATCATGCAGAAGGGAACAGATGGGAGAGAAGGTTTGGAAATAAATAAAGCTGAGGATTATGGAAGAACACATAAATTAGTTGGAAAAAATGCATGTATGCTTAGAAACTCTGCTTAACTTTAGCTCCCGCTGTCTGTAAGAGTGGTTTTACAGTTTTTTAGTGGGTTTCTGGGACATTTAAATGGGATGGTTTGGAGAATGCTTTTCCCTATAAAAGAGTTATCTCAGAAAAACTACAGCCATCCTCAGAAGTGCCGTGGTATTTCTGATCTGACAGTTCTGTCCTTTGTGGCTGCTGAACTGCCCAGGGACTTGTGCAGATGAGTGACTTGTAAATAGCAGATCAGTGACTGCTGAAGTTCCTGGTGAGGAACATTTAAATGGGAAAACCCAGTGAGCCATCATGAGAGCTGAAGTCCAGCTGAGGCATTTAACAGGATGAAGAGGACATGAAGGTTTTTACCATGGTGTTTTTTCATTATCCTATACTTCTATGATAATTTTTCGTAATGAAGGTAGGTTTTTTTTCAAGTAGTTAGGTTTTAGAAAATACTGAAGCAAACATTCAAAAAACATTGAAAATTGCTTGAAACAAAATACAAATCAATCTGTGAACATGGAGTCACATCTAATCATAAGGAACTTCTTCCTTTAGAAAGGATGTTTAAAGTTGATTAAGCGTAACTGATGGATTGCTGAGCTGCCTTGAGTCCTCCCCATTTCAAAGTGAAGTAACTCAGGCCTTTCACTGAATCAGATTTTAAAGCAGAAAGGAGTGAAAGTTCCAGACAATATTCAAAGAGCAGGACCTGAATTGTCACTGAAAGTGGCCTTGTCTTATTTTCCTCCCACCCAATTTTGTAGTATTTGCAGTTTTGTTATTCCTGAGTTATCCCCCCTCACTTGCTTCATCTGATTGAATAACTGAAATTTGGCTTTGTGGGATTTTTTAATTTATTTTCATCTTTCATGCCTGTGGCTTCTCACCCTTAGCTAGGAGTGTAGTTTTACTCTGTGACTGCAGTGGCAAAGGTTTCTACCAGGTCAGAGGTTAATTAAATACTTGGTATTTATGCGATGGTTTTCTAAGTGTATGGAGGAATGAGTGTATGTAACATGAATTGCTAAGGCTGCAACAATCATTGTAGTGCTTGCCACTTTTTATTTTTAACAGTGAAATAGGCATAGTTGTGGTAGATGCTATATCCTTTTGCCAAGAGAAATGACAAACTATGTTCTCATCTTTTTCTTGCTCTTTTTTTTTTTTCCTTCTGAGAAGCCGTATATAGCAAATTGTTTGAGCATTACAGCTCAAATAGGGTTTTTACATTTTATAGGTTTTAGCTTGCCTAGTTAGGAAGACTATTTTCAGGGGGATTTCAGCTGCTAGAGAATGTTTCAGGTTCTAAACATAACAAAACAAAGACATATTTTCTATATCTTGAGAATACTATAACTCTCCAACAATCTTAAAAAAATTGTTGCACCTCATATTTTCAAGTAACTGGCAGGAACAATAATCTTCTACAGCTTAGTACACTCTATTAAAAATGAGTAATATACATATTGATCATAACGCTTCTCTTAGCTGATGAGGCATCTCTTGGGGATGAAACCACAGTACCATATGGCTTTAATGTACTTGATAGAGTTTTCCAAATAACCACTACAAATTATATTTCAGAATGATGCTGGACAGCAGTAGAGTTAGTCTTCCAAACTGTCCATAATATATCATGACTATAGGTAAGAAATTCGTTATGCACAGGATACAGTATTTAAATATTTAACAGCTAATTAATCTGTTTTGTAGCTGTGGTTTGTGAAACTTGATAAAAATGGTGAGTAATGCACCCAGCTAACAGAAACTGATACAGGAAGCAGAATGCATTTCTCTAGCAATGTATCTAATGTAATGCAATACAGTTTCCTCAAAAAGAATGAGCTCCAGCATCTTATTGCAATTTTAAATGTAAATTTTAAATGGAAACATTCTTCTGAATATGAAAGTAGTTTATGTCCAGTTCTGGCAAAGGGTGATATAATAAATAGCTGAATTTAAATTTAAGGCAAAGCTAAAGACATGATTTGGTTTGCCAGGATTATATTGTATATTTTCTTGTCAAATGTTTATTTGTCAACAACTTAAATCATTAATGCAAATCAATTTCAATCCCAATCTGGAACAGAACCCACTCCATGAAGTAAGTGATATTACCTGCTAAACACTAACAGCAATATTGTTTTCTTCTGACATTACCGCAGAAACCACAACGGCCTTTTAAAATCTAAACCCAGAGGGAATAATTCAGAGACCTAGTCATCAAGTTTAGAATAGATACAATATCTGGACCCCAAGATCAGCTTCTGGCAACACTGACTCTGCCCTTCCTTGTTCAGAAGGCAAAGATACTGGATAAGGAAATGTGCAAACATCTGCCTCATGCTTAAAGATCCCATGGCACTTTCTTAGGGTAGAAGTTCAGCATTTTGATGAGGATACTGCTGGCCAAAACCCTCCCTACTCCCACCTTTTTAACAGTCCTCTTTGTGCAGATTTTCGAGAGGGCTGGAGCCGATATCACACAGGGCTGGCCTGACAACAAAAATTTAGAGTAGAGGACTGTCCTGGTTTAGGCTGGGATAGAGTTAATTTTATCCCTAAGTGCTGTGTTTTGGATTTAGCATGGGAATAGTGTTGATAGCACATTGGTATTTTGGCTGTTGCTGCGTCAAGGACTTTGAGTTTCCAGTACTCTGCCAGCCAGCAGGTACACAAGAACTTGGGAGGGAGCAGAGCCAGGACAGGGGACCTGAGCTGCTCAAAGGGCTATTCCACACCATAGGTTGTCATACTCAGCATATAAACTGGGGAAGTTGGTTGAGAATTGCTGATTGCTGCTTGGAGATGGGCTGGGCATCAAGCAGCGAGTGGTGAGGGATTGTATTGTGCGTTGCTTGTCTGTCTCGAGTTTTATTCTTCTCTTTTTGTTCTCTCCCTTTTCATTACTATTATGATGATTATGATTATGATTATCATTAACTTTGTTACA